ACGCGATAGCAAGGCTTATTCTGCCTTCACGAGAAGTCTGTATAGAGCGTTGTTGTCGCGGCATTGTGGTGGTTGTGGAGAGAGTCGCGTCAGTTTGGGTGGGGCGTTCAGCTTACTGATCTTTCCAGCTTACTGATCCCGCACGTTATATCATTGGTGGTTTTAGTTTCTTGTGTTTAGCAAGTGTAAAGATTACCGAATGGTCTTTAAAGTTTCATTCTTGTCCAATGATCCATTTTTAGTATAATATACAGCAATACAGGAAGAATGATTTGATATATGTAACAAGTTCCCTAGTCTGTGTTCAGCTTGCAAGGTTCGAAGAAGTTAGCTTCACACGTGTTCCCGGTTGGCGAAGCGATCATCGTGAGTCTGACCAACCACATCAACCAAAATTAAAATGTGTTACTTGAGACCACTTGAATTTAATAGATGGATATGCTTAATGATATGCACGCTACACCACAGATTGAATGCACGAAGAAAATGGGTATAAAAAGGTACACAGCTCCCACAAATGGTGGGTGAAAGGGTGTTATTGAAAAGTGTATATCTACAACAGAATCGAACAGTAATGTCTTGTTTCCAACCAAGTCAGCACGCGTGGTCGATCGCACTGGTAATTGTGTGCTCTATGAAGAAGCTTAACCACGGAAAGCACGGGGATGAACGCCTCCGGCTGCCATGACGCTGCGCACCTTGTTAGCGACGCCAGAACCAGCGTTGGCGCGGAGCCAGGTGATGAAGGTGTCGATGGTGAAGGTCTTTGGGAGCCCGGAACCGGAACCAGAGCTGGAGCCGGAGCCCTGCGAGGGAGCAGGGGCGCTTCCAGAGCCGGAGTTCGAGTTCTCAACTGGTACAGGCGAAGCAGAAGGCGATGCAGCAGGGGCAGAGCCAGAGTTGTCAACCGGAGAAGGAGCAGGAGCAGGAGTAGTGCTGTTATCAGAACCGGAACCGGAGTCGGAGCCGGAGCCAGCACCCATGGTGAAGTCTATACAAGACTCGTATGTCTGGTTGATGGTGGGTGCATCCCAGTACCACTGGATCGCACAGGTACCGGCCTTGTTGCAGTGGTCACTGACGTCGGGCATGGTGATGCTGAAGTCAGTCCACTCGGGGTGCTGGCTGAGGGGAACAGAGGTCAAGGCGTACTTATCCCAGCTGATGAGGGGCTTTCCAATGATCTTGTCGGTGGCGAGGTCGATGACGGAAACATTGGCCCTACCGTCGTGGGGCGCACGAATGGTGACGGTTATGTTTACCACCTGGCCGGGGGTGTAGGAGTAGATCTCGGCGTGATCGGAGAAAGGAATACCCTTGCATTGCCAGATACGGCAGTCAGGGTGGCTGCCCTGAAGGTTCTGTATAGAGCCCTGGACGTTGCCGTACATGTCAGAATTCTGAGTGTTGAAGACCTGGTCACCGCATGCTTGCTTGAGACCATCGCCGGGCTTTCGGGCATTTGGGCTGGCGACGTAACCGTGAGCAGCAACGGAGGAGGCAAAGCCTGTAATAGCCGTGGCGATAACGTAGGACTTCATTGTGGTGGATCGTTTGTTGTTCGAGAGGCGCGATAGGTGATGTACAGAGAATCTGAAGCCTAGCTTCTTTGAGAAGAGAGTGAAAAAGAAGGTTGCTTGAAAAAATGAGTGGCAGGTCTCAGACCTATGGCAAACGAAGGAGCTGTGTGTTGGAAGTGAAGAAACGGTGAGTTTGATGGAAAGAAAGGGCTTGGAAGAAGGCTACTGCTGATGTCTATATACAATGGAGCAGCATGACATTACTCACGTCAAGGGCTCCATGTGTGGATCTGACAAGTAGCTCATCAAACGCATGAAACAAAACCCCATAGAAGTGAATTCTTCACAGCGCTAGCCCTCGCTTGCGATTCAAAACAATAGCTTCGCGCCATGCCGCTTCCCAAAAACAGACTCGGCGTGGGTCCTGCAGTTATGCTTAGTGGCTTTTTCCACCAGTTGGAGGTAGGCGTCAAGCAGTTAAGGCCGGAGGTTTCTTTAAAATATGACAGGGTGAACAAAGGCGTTCCTGCGACAGCGGGCACCATGCACATTGACAGCTTGGTGGCCGGGGTTCCTGGGAGGCTAGCCGCAAAGGGAAATAAAGACGGGTCGTCTTATGTAGTCGAAGCGCCCGGGCGCCTGGATTGAAACGGTCGGGAACATGCGCAAAGTTTCAGGTTGTCCGACACTTGACTATGCAAAGAGCCGCCGGCATGTTTTCTGTGGCGCCGCTCACCCACCGGATAGTGAGTTGAGTAGTTGGGTTGGAAGTGGTTTTTGAGACTAGACCTGCAAATAACTCGGAAATTAATGACGGCACCCAACCCTACCTACACCGGAGCCAGTCTCGTCTTCCATCAAGTATCTGTGGGACAGCCTGGAGAGCACGGCCGGATTCGTACAATGATGACGCATTTCAATGGATTGGTAGGCAATGGTAAAGGCCCGAGTTGTGCAAGGCAGATTGCGATGCCATGAAAATGGGTGGATTGTGTCCATGGCCTGCTCTTTATACCCTCGTAAAGAGCAAGATAGCGTCGATTTGCATGAACATCATGTAGATAGAGTCTTCTGAGATCGACAAGCTTGCCATATAAGCATTGTGGATTTTTACCAAGATTGATGAACGGAAGTTGCCAAGGCAGGCACAAGCACAAGATATCGTACCCACCAAACATGCTTGAATTTGCGCTGCAGGCCCTGTGCGGGAAATTCAACGGCTGGAAGTGGAGAAACGTTTGATGATGGCCAAGCCTCGACTAGAAACTGTATATTTCCCAGCGTCGATGACATTCCATGTAACTACCCGAGTAGAACACACCTGCGTAAACATGTATAAGTACGCAGTATATCCACAATAAGCACGAAACATGCCGATACTGCAGGGGGTGCTTGACGCCGGCGACATGACGGGGCATGTGCGTGGCAACTGGCGGTTTCACGCTTATCAATTATTGTCAGCTTATTAGCACATGACAGACAACGCCGTACACATTAAGTGTGTACAATCGGCCCAAATGTGAACGCAAAGAGTTAGTACTCACTCCGTTTCCGGGGAAGCCGCTTCCTACTCGCTGTCTTCTGTTCCAGCCTGTCCATTGCATTTCGCCTCTGCATCCTTTTGCGGCGTTTCTACGCCGTTTTTGAAGGAGACCAAATATAATGTCTAGCTACATGTACTGCTCGAACGACTCATTTTGCGTTGCATAAAAACCAATCTTTAGAGCCTTCGAAGAAACAATGCCGTGTGCGCGTCATGATGGTACGGTTATCTGTACGCCTCGCTCGCTGGCTTCCTTTTTCGGGGTGACTCCTTTTGATAGGCTTATGCCATGGACCAGGTCATTGATTTTACCTGAGGCGCGCACAATGACTGCAATATAATCGACTACTGCTTAGATCGATGCCTCGATCCAGTGTTGTCCTAATAAGAGTTTGCTTTCATGATGAAATTAAGTAGCTTCTCGTGATGCTTGGGCAGTGTTGTTCCAAGGACATTCCTATACTCCTCATCTTAATATTCGATATCATTGACACATGTGCACATGAGGCTTGGGTGGAGGTTGTCTTTAGCATAAGAGCATACTCTTTGGTCTCGAGCTGTCTCCCTCGCGATTCACATCTTTAGCTTTCATGATTGCAAATGTATCTATATGTTGTAGTAGCATGCCACATAAAGTCCGTGCTCCCTATACAACATCATTTATAGACTGCTAGGAGTACAAGTGATGTCAGGGGGAGGATAAAGATCGCCAAATCCAGGTTCCTCTTGTACAATTTAGCCGATTATGGCAAGAGTGTCTTCTCAAACGGGAATCATTCTCCTGGAATAGGCATTAGGATCGAAAACCTTATATCGCATGTACAAAAAGGCCTCAAGACGGATGCTTCGATAGAATTCGATTTGTTAAGGGAATGGAAAAGCCAACAAAGCGGTGTCTTTGACCGTACCAGTATCAGTGACAGCTCGTCACAAAACCGACATCGAAGTTGAGAATGGAAACCTTTCGACTTGCGAAAAAGCCAGCTTCCGAAAACTTTGCAATGATATTCAGGTATATAATTCAAGCACAACACCATGCGGACCGCCATACTCTGGTTCGTAATTCAGCTCATACCAGTACGCCTCCAAATATCTTGTATTGACTCGGTGAGTGAAGAACTGGGCAATCTCTCTCTTTGGGCATGCAAACCATTTACTCCGGATCTCGCTCGCATTAGTCGTGGACAAGACGTAGGTGTCGTAGCGCTCAATGATCGCAGGCTTGTTGTTCCAGGTGGTACGGCCGTTGTCAAGTTTAGGTTCGACACGTGAGATGTCAACTATGAAAGGGGGTTCGCCTTTGAGACTAAACGGAGCATTCTTGGAAGGATCAGTGTTGATTAAGAAACGAAGACGGCAGACGTTGGCGTTGTTGTCGGGTACGTAGAAGCCAACAGCGGTCCACTGTTCGTTCCCGGTCTTGTTCTTTGTTCCATTGTCAGCTATCACGTAACAATGAACGTGGCTTGTTCTCGTATCATACACTATAGCTGACAGTGGCATCTTTCTGAGTAGGAAATGCAGTGTCCGGTTGAGATTTAATGAGCGGAAGGAGCAGTACCGGATACTGTGTGTTGATGAGCGTTGCAAAGACTGGAAACCCAAAGAAGATGGGGAGAAGAGTGAGTAGACTCATGTTGTATTTGGAGGAAACAAGATGAGCAATGGAAGCAGCGCAATGTTGGATATGTTTGTGCTGAGATTATGTAGGTGTGTCGGCAGAAATGCTTCAACCAAGAAACAAAGTTGGGTAATCGGTATTACATGGGCAGAGTCGCACTGACACGATCAATGTTGGACAAAGTAGACCGACGCTGTTGTGCAGATGATTTTGTTGATGCTCGTGGTGATGATACTACAGGGCACAGTGGAGCTGTCATTCACGTGTTCGCCCGTCAGGAGGCAGTTGATACCTTGAACGTCACAATGGGAGTGGATATTGTGTACAAAGTGGGCGATTATTGTACGCCAGAGCACTAGTAGTAGTACCTTTTTAATGTGGCGTTTGTGTACGCAGTGACTTGATTCGACATGGTTTGGTCTAGAGAAGCTGCATCACGTTGACACAAGAACAGCGCAGCTTTGCAATGTCCTTGGCTTCCAGGGAGAAGTTAGGTGTGGGTTTGTATATTTGGTAGCCGTCCTGCGCAGACTAGTGTTAGTGTAAGTAGAATGAGAGGAATGGAACTGGAATGGTGGTGGACGGCGCCCTGCCGTTGTCAAAACCAGCCTCGGCAAGTGGGGCTGGCATGGCTGACATCAGAGATGGGTCGTTATCACAACGGCGACTTGTTTCTTTGTCTCTTGTACACCCAATTTGGCCTCGTGCCAATGAGCAAACTGTCTGCCCTGCCAGCATGGCGCTGCTATCCAGATTACGGCCCGTCTTGAGACCCTCAACATGCCTACGGCCAAGGCGCTCCTCGATGCGGCGTAGCCTGTACCTGGCGCCACCATACCTCGTCGATGACTACATCCCCCGTTATCATCTACTGTCTTCGGTGGACGCGTCTAAGAAGCGATCTTTGGCCTATGCACACCTGCGCGAATGCAACTTATGCCCCCGCCTTTGCGGCGTCAACCGCTACGAGAAGACAGGAGTGTGCCTGATCGGTGCAGAGACGGTCAAGGTGGGAACAATCGCGCCACACTTTGGCGAGGAGCCATTCATCCAAGGCCACAACGGCTCGGGGAGTGTCTTCTTTAGTGGTTGTAACCTTCGTTGCGTGTTTTGCCAGGTATGCGCTGCTCGTACAGAAGATGGCTCGCCGTTTTGCACGTACTAATGCTACACAAAGAACCATGACATCTCACATACGCGTAACGGATTTGACCTGACACCCGAGGGTCTTGCCGAATGGTACATGAAGCTGCAAGATGTTGGCCGTGTCCACAACATCAATCTCGTCACGCCAGAACATGTGGTGCCACAGGTGGTACTGAGCATTCTGCATGCGCGCGAACTCGGCCTGCGCTTGCCTATCATCTACAACACATCAGCGTTTGATTCGCTCGAGAGCATTGGCTTGCTTGATGGATTGGTAGACATCTACATGCCTGACTTCAAGGTGTGGCGTGACACAACGAGCAGACGTCTTCTCAAGGCAGACAAGTACACGGAAGCGGCTATGGAGAGCATCAAGGCCATGCACAAGCAGGTTGGCGATCTCTGTTTTAGTGCAGATGGTATAGCCAAGAAGGGTGTCATTGTGCGACACCTGGTCATGCCAGGCATGGAAGACGAAGGCCAGGAGATTGTGAGGTGGCTTGCGCAGAACGTTAGCAAGGACTTGATGGTGCACATCATGGAGCAGTACTTTCCACGGGCTCATGTGGGTAAGCCACGCCGCGGTCGTGCAAACTCTGATGGTGAGCCGTCGTCGGACGCTGGCGATCAAGTTCGGTATGCAGACATCAATCGTCCTGTGCATCTGGATGCGGTTGCAGCTGTGAAGAAGGCAGCACAAGAAGCCGGGCTATGGAGATTTGTCGAAGCGTCGCGCCATGGCGGTTTCAACATTTAACGGGGCGGGCATTGGTGGTGGTGGTGATGGTGGTGCCTGCCTGTCTGGCTGTGTTGTGCCTGCCTGCCTACTTGCCTCAACACCACAGCACACTCGCACCCACACTCACACTGCCCTCGATGGCAGGGCCACCATCACGCCACCGCCCGCTGTCAGGACAAACACTGCTAATCCCACGTACAGGCCCTCGTTCGCCACCATGGACGGCATTGCCTGCATCCAGCGCATTGTCCGTGACCTCAAGGTGGACCGGGATACCTGGCAGGCGGTCGCTTGCCAGTACAAAGCGGCCTTCGAGGCCCAGACTGCTCGCCTGCGCGAGCTTCAGGACGTCTGCTTCGCCACCCAAGCCGAGCTGGAGAATGAGCGAGCCCAGCAACATCGAGGCCACGCCGCCTCAGCCCTGACTGACATTTCTCCATCCCGCCCCTTTGGCACCGCCACCATTTATTCTCTACATGGCGTCCATGCGAAATGCTCGCCGCCAGTCGCTGAAGGCTGCGCCAATTCACTGTTCAGCAGGGTGCACGAATGTGCCCGTCAGAGGAACTACGGCACTGCTCTTTCAGAAGTTGAACGACTACTACGTGGTCCTCTTAGCCCCAAGGCCCGCGCAGAGGGCCTCCTACTGAAGAGCAATATCCTTAGAGCATCAGGGCCCGATGACATGTTTGACGCACTCGCCGTCTGCAGCGAAGCCATAGAGCTTTGTAGCCGTCTCGCCGAACTGGAGAGCTTCCTGCCCAAGATACAGTGCCAGCAGAACTCACTTCGTCATGACCTTCGTGCCCTCCATCAAGCCTCAGATACATTGAGTACCACTAGCAGCCATGACGACCTACTCTTGCCCCAAGTGTGCGCCGTCCGCCAGTCCTACGGCGACGAGCTGGACATGCTGCATTGTGCCAAACGCCGATCAGGCTTTGACGAGAACCGTACCATGGATGGTCTGCTCGTTCAACTCGAGGAAAAGACCACAGACGTACGCGGCGTTGCCTTGACCTTGTTAGTCCTCAACTCGTGCTAACATGTCCAGAACAAACGTCGACGTACCAGTGTGCGACTCAGGCTGCGCGCTGCCGCCAAGGCGAGACGAATGTCTGTACCGTATCATTGGGTCAAAGCGAGAAGCGAGGGATACCACCGTGTGAGCTAATCAGCAAGAGACTGACAGCAGTCAAGGGACTTGATAGGTTTTGTGCGAGTACCGTTAGCGGCACCACCAGGAGACTGGCAGAACATCTATTCGTCATCTTAGCTTTACACCCAAAAATTAAATTCCGCAATTCCCATTCAGTTGGTGCTCTGAATGAAATCAATGTTCTTTATTGTGATATCACTGCACTCTTGGATAAGAGCTTTCTTAACGACAAAGAAACACATCCTGAAAGACGCATACACCGCGCCCATCTTGTCATAAAGCATTGTTCTTTGGCGCTGAAAGGTTTGTAGATTTGAAGGATGCGCTGAATTTCGCTCGCTCGTTGCAGAGAAGATACTCTGAACCTCCTACTATGACAACAATCCTAGACACTCACCTCAACAATACCATGAACATGCGCAAAATTTCAACCCACGACAGTACATATTTCAATCACAGTTCAGCATTTCGTACACCTTCTCCAATTGCAAATCATCTCTCTCCGAGCGGTCGTCCGGACTCCATCGATGGTGCACCTCTTGATGAGACGCTTAAAGAACACGATACACACAAGAGCCGTGTGCGTCGATTGCAGATTCACTTGTTCATACTTCGCTGCCAGGTACTGCAGTCTATGTTAGATATCTTGGAGCGCAAACCCAGAACGGATGAGGTTAAGTCGAATATACACATACACTATGACAATATCTACCGCTTTGCCTCCAAAGCCGGAAAGCTTGCAGAGGGATTTGATGATACTACTTTGCAAGCACGCAGTGAGTACTGGACTGGACGTGGTTGCGGCGGCTTGGGAGACTGGCAGTCTGCCAAGACGCATTTTGGGAATGCAATCAAACTCGACACACCAAATAGTGCGAACTATCACAACGGCTTTCAGAATAGAGGACTACGTCCAAATGAACGGGCAGATGTACGTTTCCTGCTTCATATTGCCACACGGCGCTACGATAGATGGGTCCACAAGATAGAGGAAGCCCGTAAGACCCTGAGTGAGCTTGAGTTTGAGGAGATTGATTGGGAAAAGGAAAGCATGAAAGATGGTTATTGGACACCCTACCGTGATGGCTTGAAGCGTGCCATAAAGCAACAGGCAGAGATAGGTCGAAAAACAGGCAGACCCATGAACCATCTGCTCACCAGCGAAGGCCAAGAGGCAAACATTCTTAGCCAAAAGGAGATAAAAATGGTGCTAAGAAGACTGGCCAAGCGAGATGACAAGGCACTCCTCTGCAGGACACTCAACGCGGAGGAATGGCGTTATATTTTCCGCGGTAATGCAGCCGTGGGGAAAGACAATCTTAGTGCAAATGACACTGGCAAAGGCGAAACAAAAGACTGTTTACCCGATCAACCGGTTGAGCATTCTTTGCCTCCTTCGATCCACGCCTCTGCACAGCCATCACCTGAAATATCACGTAACCTGTGCGACGAACTGGAAGAAAACGAATACCAAAGTGGTGGGGAAACACCGGCTTTGTCCTCCACCAGTTTTACAAGTCATACCTATGCTGACGGTGAAGGAGATGTACCATCGTCATCATCACTGTCACCATCAGGAAGTTTGCAAGACCGAAGAAATATTACCATAGCACCTATTCACACTGAGTTTCGCAAAAAAGAATCAGTCATGAGTAACGCGACATTGGGATCGGAATCAGATTCAGAGGCGACGTCAGTACCGGCGGACAACTGCTCCTTGGAGAATGGTTTGGTTGAATCGCGGTCACCATGAGCAGCGTGGAAGCAGATCTAAGAAAACTTTGATAGCGTGTTAATTGTTTTTGAGGTTGATTTGATACATAGAGTAGCCAACAAATCAAGCAAGGCTAGTAGTATGCAGGTAGCTAATCAACATTTGGACTATCTTAATGTACCAATTGCCAGTAGGGAGTATATGACTTGACCAAAAGTCATCTGAATACCCATGTTTCTGCGATACAAGATCGCGCTTTTGCTCATCGTGAACGGGCCCTTCCGCTGGTCTAGCGTCACCGGTTCGACTAAGCAGTCTAAGTAATAAACGATTTCAAAAAATAGTAACTGTTTAGATTGCGTCTATGCCACCAACAAAAGCAACACCACAATCTCGCACGTTCAACGCCTTTGGTCGCATTACTGCCGACCATTCCCTTATCACTCTTTTTTGGAGATCGATTTGGCAACCGCGTTGAGTGCATATTGCACATCAGACTTGAGAAATTGCTTTTCATGCACGAGAAAACGACACAGTGATGAAAAGACCCGAGATACGTCAATGCGAGCAGCTTTTGTCAGGTGATCAGGTTGGATGAGGCGTATGTGCTGATAGCATGGCTGAAGAAAACAGCTAATTCCTGGCATTGAAAAATCGGGTTCTGGAAATGTCGAAGAGAAAAAGTATCGCTTGGCTCTCTTAACCTCAAACACAGCACGACCCAAGTCTCAGGGTCAATGCCCTAAACTGGATTAGACGTTACTTGCACGCTTCTGGGCGGCACATCGCCAAGCTGGTCCCGACTCAGTGGTTTTGTTCACAAATGTTGTGGATTTTCTCTGGAATACTTATTTTTCGGTTAAGGAATCAGTCGAAACCGATGGCAGTCGACATATTCACTGAATATTAGGTTTTAAGTAGAATAATTTCAGCATCATCGTTCGTAAGCATTTCGGCTAATGGTAGAACTTGGCCGGCATTTCTACAAGAACTAGTTACACGCTAATACGTAAATTGTGTGAGATACCAAATGTAGTAACCGAAGCGTTTACAACGCAAGCGCTGCTCGTCATGTTAGAGGTGCCGGACGGGCCAACGCCGCGGACGGGCCAACGCCGGATTACGTCCTCCAACACCAATTATTCTATCTACTTCAACCACTCATAACGTGACCATAATGCAATNAATTAACGCTGCGCTTGCTGCTATTAACGTATTAAAGCCTAATAAAAAACTTATGTATTCTTAAATTGCAAAAAAATATAGTGTTAACCTAGGAACGCTAAGCCGCCGCCACCGAGGTGTTTCTAGCTCCAGACAAGCAGCTGCACAAAACCAGTAGGCAGTCTACCTACAACATGAAGCTGAGCTTATTAACTATATCGATAGACTTACTAAGCGAGGCCTACCGCCTATACGGAGTATCATTCGAAATATCGCGTTATAGCTAGCTCAGAAGCAGCTTAGATATTACTAGGTTAATCGCTTTATTCATCGTAACTCGCATCTTATTATACTCAAGCGCACCACGCCAATCAATCGTAGCCGGCGCCAAGCTGATTTAGAAAAGAAATATCAGCTCTACTTTAAGCTTCTACGCTAAAAAATCAATTAATATAAAGTAGAGCCGCGACATATATATAATATAGATAAGAAGGGCTTTATAATTAGAGTATAGTCCCGCTTAGTTAGAATCTTTTCTAAAGCTGCTCTTAAGTCTAGATTAAAAAGATTAAATATCTAAGATAGTAATCGCGAATGGATTACGCTGATCGCATATATCTACGCAGATGGATCGTATCTAGATCTAAGCATCATCTACTTTAGCAAATCTAGCTCTATCTAGAACTTATAGCTCTAAGGTTTTAATCTAGATATATAT